TGTTGCCACACTGTAGACTGAGCTCCACAAAATGCAAACTCTTGAGTTCGATCTATCCTCCCTCATGCCCAAGGAAGGTGAGCAGGGTGTGGGCACGGCATTAGATCTTGATTTTTCCACCTTGATGACAGCTCCTGCACCTCAGACTGTCGGGGCTTCCCGGACTCCAGCTTCCCCTGCACACATTGACATCCCTTCTGACGATGATTTCAGACACCCTGCCGAGTGCGAAGGTGGGGGAACAAACGAGGGAGAGACTAATGAGGCGTCATGGTCCGAGGAGGATGAGGGCCCTCAGGAGAAAGGCAAACAGATTGCTGCCCCTACAGTTGCGGAGGAGGAACAAGCAGATGTTCAGAAGGCGATAGAACATTCGCTAGCAGACATGGTCGCCCAAGCAAATCCATCGACCACTCAGCCATCAGCGGGCGAGGCTAGCAGCTCACAGGCCCCAGCTCCAGTGTCGGGCCAGTTGGAGATCCCTCATCCATCAGTGGAGGTCACTCCTCAGGCCGAGATCTCATCAGTCCCAGCTTCAGCATCAGAGGGTGACCCCACCTTCATTCAACCGGCTTCCGACTCCCATAGCACTTAGTGCGCCTCAGGGAGCCCCTAAACGCTGTCTTATGTTCTTATGCATTGGGGACAATGCGTGCTTTTTAGTTAGGGGTGGGATAGCCTTTTACAAACTTTTTGTGAACTGTTGTACATGTTTTTTTGTGTTATATAAGCAAACTTCTGTAACTTTTGTATATACTCGTGTTGTTTTTGGTACATATGTTATCTTTGTATAGAAAAAAAAACAAAAACAAGTAGATAGTTGGATGCATGCTAATCTTTAGTAATTAGCAATGAATGCCCCATGGTTTTTCTTCGCCAGGTTCTTTTCCAAGGGTGTAATAGTAGAACCATGGCAGTAGGATGAAACATTTTGACTGGTTTGGTGTAATTGTCTAGTTTCAAGCATGTATGCCTGTAAATAACCTATACCCTTCCATTAATATTAAAAAAAGAATGAAATCAACTGTGTGAACTTGAGGCTCGCTCTTTGACTCTATGTTTACCTAGAGTCATACATATAAATATGATGAAATCTTTGAGTTGCCAAGTGTTGACTCGAGGGCTAAAACCATGTTGAGTTAAACAGTTCATGTGCCATGTGTGTGAGTCTTTGTATAAATAATTCTTGTGTCTACTTCTGCCTTCTAGAACTTGCCCGGTTGGTCTTTCGATGCTAATGATAATTATATTTGGTTGGAGAAATGACCTTAGCCAGTCTTTGTGATATTGGAAACCAGTTAGCCTTTCAAGCTACCCATTGTATAGATATTATCACTAGTTACCCCATTTGAGCCTTTAACCTTTTCTTTGGCCACCTCATTACAAACCTTTCCCCTTTTGTAAAATAATTCCCTCTTTTTGAGCCCGTCCCTCCTTGAACATTGAGAATGAGGCTAAAAGCCTAAGTTGGGGGTGTGGTGTCAAGCGGGAAATTGGCAAGGTTGTACAGTGAGTGTAGGAAAGTATACCTCAAGATATTCATATGAAACTATTCAAGCTCCAAAAGAAAAAAATAATATACAAGAGAAAAGAAGAAAAAGAAAATAAAAAGAGATGTATGTATATATATAAATATGGAGCCTTGAAGAAGAAAATTAGAGAGGTATTTAAGGTGGTTCAATGTTGGAAATTAGGGGCTAATGAGGGCTATGTGGTTTGAAAAGAAGCAAAAACAAGAAAGAAGAATATGAGTAGTGTTAAAGGAGGGTGTGGTCACTTGTACCCAAATGTTTATCCGACCCTTCCCTAAACCTACATTACAAGATTAAAAAGTCCTTATGGGATCTCCAACCGAACGTTCTTAGAAAAAGCGATGAATTAAAATAAGGGCAGGCCTATGGCATGGCAAGTTTTAACACTTGAATCTCTTTTTGAGAGTGAGTGTCTTTGTGAATCCGTCCCTTTTGTTGTCATTGTAAATATTGTGAGTTTGGGACTTTCTTTCTAGTGAGGGAACACGAATTGTGAGGTTGGACAGAAATTGAGTTTTTGAAGTCGAATGCAAGTGCACTCAGCTGAGAGTAACATTTTGTCAAATTGGTCGAAGCTCAAAGTTTCACAAGTTGATTAGTTCCTTTGTAAATAACAATGATTGCTCAAGAAGGGTAAATAAACAAAAGTACATGCTTGTAGTACTGACAACTAACAGCGTCCACAGTCACTATTGTTTCATATCGTTTAGCCGGTGTCTAGAATAGGATAGTGTCGTCTTAGTTGCTTGAGGACAAGCAAGAGTTTAAGTTGGGGGTGTTGATGTGCCAGAGAATTTCGGCACATTTAATACCAATTGCTTGGATTTTAGATTGTTTTAAATGAAAATTATCTTTTGTACTTATATAATTTTAATGTTTTGCTGTGTATGAGGATTGAGGACCCAAGAACATGGAAATAAAATCAAAAAGCTGCAAAAGGACAAGAAAAAGGCAAAATGCGATCGCAGATTTGAAGATGCAGATCGCAAACCCAACATGCGGACCGCATATTGCTCAGAGGAACCGCAAAGCACAACAGTCTGTTGGCCAAATTCAAGCGCAAGAAATGCGGTCCATTATGCGACCGCATAACAGGTTTGCGGGCCACATAATGGATCGCAGACTCCGTGTAGAAGTTGCTGAAGCTAGAAATGTGGTGACATTATGCGGTCGCAAATCAACAATGCGGACCGCATAACAAAGATATGATGGCTTTGACGAGAATGCGGACCGCATGTCTGTTATGCGACAGATATGCGATCGCATAATTGACCTGGACGGGAATTTTTGTCCGAAGTTGGTCTCGAGTTTTGGCCCACTATAAATAGACTTATTGGGGTTTTGTGAGGGCATCTTGTCTTGTTTTTGAGCTACATTCCAACCTTTGAATATTCCCCTCTTTTGGAAGCTTTAGGAGTGAAGAATCTTGCACTTTGTAAGCTTTATTGGCATTTAATATTCTTCATTTTTTTGTATTTTAGCATGAGTAGCTAGCTTTAAATACTAAGGTGTGGACCCTAAATGGGTGTTATGTTAATGGGTGTTTAACATTGAATATATATATAATGGTTGATTGATATATATTTACTTCTCATTCTTCATTTATTGTTGGTGGTTGCAAACATTAACAAGTGCCATTAAACTCTTTCTTTACTTGGAAAAGTGGGTTAGAGTTTGGTAGAAGTAAATATCAAAGACTCAAGGCTTTAAACCTTGTTTAATAGAATCGCTTAGGAATAAGTGAATTTTATTTGGCATAAATTGATTACTCTTAATTGCAACTCTTTTATATTTGGAAAAATCATAAAGAGGAAATACTACCCGACTATTGAAAAATATTGGGTAGTCATTTAGAAATTATTTTCATATCTAAAGGACCTTCCATTAGAAATATATCATATTAACACCGATAGCATTACATTCCATTGACGGGGACACAATCTTGGTTTCATTAATCAAATTATTTACATTCTCAACGTTACAATTAGTTCTCTCTTTAAATCACAATCATATCATACTCTTGTTACAATTAACGAAATAGAATTACGACCCAAGTCAAGTAGCACACTACTCGAGTAACCTTTTCACGCCTATTCCCTATGGGATTCGACCCCAACCTTGTTGGGTTATTATATTTGACCCCGACTGCCTTACACTATTTAATTAAAGTGTAATTTGAGCGTATCAAATTTTGGCGCCGTTGTCGGGGAATACGGTTGAGAAATTACTAATTAGTGTGTGCTTTACTTTACGTCTTATTCTATTCCATCACACTTTGCTTGTTTTGCTTGGTGTTGATAGGAAGACATGGCCGAATATGAGGAAGAAATGGATGAAAATCCTTTTGCGGACATAGATAAGTACATTGAGGATACAAATGCTATTTTACCTCCGGTTGTTGGTGCTTCAACTTTCAAAGTGGAACATAGTCTAATCCTAATGCTCAAAGCGGAGGGGTTTTTCAAGAATTCCACTGATGATGATCCGACACAATACCTTAGGAACTTTTTGGGTGTATGTGCTATGCATAAGCAGAACAACGTCTCAGATGATGCCCTAAGGTTGAGGATGTTCAAGTACTCACTAGCTGGGGACGCAAGGAAGTGGCTTCAAAATTTGCCACCAAATTCCATTCATTCTTGCCCTGAACTTGTCCGAGAATTCTTAGCTAAATGGTTCCCGGAAAGCAAGAAATATGAGCTTCGGGATAAAATTTTCTTCTTCAAGCAACTACCGGGAGAACATCTACATGAAGCATGGGATCTATTCAAGTTATACTTGGTGAGGTCACCCAATCATGGTTTTCCGGACTCTATCTTGTTGGAGAAATTCTACATGGGTTTAGATGCTATGAACCAATCTATAGCCAAGAATGCAGCTGATGGATCTTTTATGGACAAGACATTCGCAAGGATCACACAAATGCTTGAGAAAATGGCACAACATAATCAAGCTTGGCACTCCGAGGACACCACAGGTGGAATTGCATATGGTTCTCCCTCCTTGACCAACCTGATTAAGGAGAATCAAGAGAGAGATCAAGTAATCGCAGGGCTTGCCACCAACGTCAATGTGTTGACAAAGATGTTCACTGAAAGCCAAACGAAGAAGGTAAATGTGGTGGAGGATGTGCAACCTATATCAAATGAAGACTTTGAGGAAGCAAACTATGTCAACAACTCTCAAGGAGGATATCAAAGGCAACAATACCAAGGTCAAGGACAATAAAATCAATGGAGGCCTAACCCGCAAGGGCAAGGCAACCAACAGTGGCGAAATGACCAAGGTAGCTCAAATCAAGGAAATTGGAATAACAACAACAACAACTTCTCAAATCGGAGTTGCAACCCTTATGTTCCACCAAAGGGTCAATATCCAAATCAAGGGTCCTCAAGTGATTCCAAGTTGGAAAGCATGCTTGAACGTGTATTGCAAAATCAAGAGAGGTCCGACACTTCTATTAGGAATATGACCGAGCTTGTGGGTTCTCATACCGCATCCATTCAAAAATTGGAGATGCAAATGAGAGACCTTTCTAGGGAACAAAATCCAAAGCAAAAGGGAACACTTCCTAGTGACACAATTGCGAACCCAACGGGTAGTGGAAGTGCTCCAACTTCTCACATCATGGCAATTACTACTCGGAGTGGGAAGGAACTACAAGGAGAGAGTGAACAAGTGGTTGAAGTAGAAGAGTCCGAGCAAGAGGTTGAGGTTGAAGAGCCAAGGGTTGTTGAAGTTGAAAAGGTTCCGGAAGAGTTGAAAGTTCAAGAAGTGAATCGGTAAGAGGTAAAGGAAAAGGTAAAAGAGACACCAAAAGCTCTACCACCTATTCCTAGACCTCCTCCTCCTTTTCCTCAAAGACTTGCGAGGAAGGTTGATGATAGCAAACTCGAAAAATTCTATGACATTCTCAAGCAGTTATCGGTGAATATTCCATTTGTAGAAGCATTTCAAGAGATGTCGGGTTTTGCTAAATATTTGAAAGATTTGATTACCAAGAAGAGAACCACCAAGAATGAAGTGGTGAATGTGACTCACCGGGTTAGTTCCATCATTGCAACATCCACCGTTAAAAAGAAAGAAGACCCGGGAGCTTTCACCATTCCATGTACTATTGGGGCACGTGATTTTGCAAGAGCTCTTTGTGACAATGGGGCTAGCATTAACTTAATGCCTCTTGCTATTTACAAGCAAGCGGGATTAGGTATGCCGAGGCCTACAAGTATGAGGTTGTAAATGGCCGATCGTTCTATAAAGAGACCGGTGGGAATTGTTGATGATGTGCTTGTGAAAGTGGGAGAGTTCCATCTACCCGCCGATTTCGTAATCCTTGATTGTGCAGTTGACAAAGAGATCCCTATCATCTTGGGGAGACCATTCCTTGCCACAGGAAGAGCACTAATGGATTCGGAACGGAATGAGATCAAATTCTGTGTGAATGATGAAGATTTTACATTCCAAGCAATCAAGGGTATGAAACTACCACATGCATATGAAAGCATCTTGGTGATTGATGTTGTTGATGAAGTGGAAGATGCGGTTGAAATGAAGATGGAAGAACAATGCCTCGGTGAGGCGTTGGCGGCTATTTTGGTAAACTTTGATGGTGAAGATATGGAGGGGTATATGGAATCAGTCAATGCATTGGAAGGGCTTGGGTCCTACACCTATGCTCCGAAGAAGCTCTCTCTCGACTTGGAGAATAGAGCCACTCCTCCCGCAAAGCCTTCAATCATTGAGCCACCACAACTAGAGCTCAAACCACTTCCACCGCACTTGAGGTATAAATTTCTTGGCTCAAATGATACTTTACCGGTAATTGTCTCTTCTTTGTTGAATGATGTGCAGGTAGAGCAATTGTTGATTGTCTTAACGGAGCATAGGCAAGCTATTGGATGGACAATTGCGGATATCCGGGGGATTCCCGCCGGAATTTGCGAACACAAGATCCAATTGGAGAATGAGAGTAAACCAAGTGTGGAGCATCAACGAAGGTTAAACCCTTCAATGCAAGAAGTGGTAAAGAAAGAAATCATCAAGTGGTTGGATGTCGGGGTAGTCTACCCTATTGCCGATAGTTCTTGGGTGAACCCGGTGCAATGTGTGCCAAAAAGGGGAGGCATGACCGTGATTGAAAATGAGGAGAACGAGCTCATTCCAACAAGAACGGTGACCGGATGGAGGGTATGTATGGATTTACGGAAGCTAAACAGTGCTACGTGCAAGGACCATCTCCCTATGCTTTTTATTGATCAAATGCTTGATCAGCTAGCGGGAAGGTCATTCTATTGCTTCTTGGATGGTTACTCCGGCTACAATCAAATCAACATTGCATTGGAAGATCAGGAAAAGACAACATTCACTTGTCCATATGGGACGTTTGCATTTAGCCGGATGCCATTTGGGCTATGCAACGCTCTGGCCACTTTTCAAAGGTGTATGATGTCATTATTCTCCGATATGGTGGAGGATTTCTTAGAGGTATTCATGGACGATTTCTTGATCGTAGGTAATTCTTTTGAGCATTGTCTAGACAATCTTAGACAAGTGCTTAAGAGATGTGAAGAAACGAACCTTGTGCTAAATTGGGAAAAATGCCACTTCATGGTGGACGAGGGCATTGTTTTGGGCCACAAAATTTCCAAACATGGCATAGAAGTTGACCGGGCAAAGATCGAGATCATTTCCAAGCTTCCTCCACCTACTTCAGTTAAAGGTGTCCGAAGTTTCTTGGGGCATGCCGGATTCTATAGGCGTTTCATCAAGGATTTTTCCAAAATTGCAAATCCCATGTGCAAACTCCTTGAGAAAGATGCAAAATTTGTGTTCGACGAGAAGTGACTCAAAGCCTTTGAGGAATTGAAACAAAAGCTCACCGCGACACCTATTATTGTTAAACTCGATTGGTCTCTTCCATTCGAACTCATGTGTGACGCCAGTGGTGTAGCTATTGGGGCAGTGCTTGGCCAACGTCATAACATGGTTCTCCACCCGGTCTATTATGCAAGCAAGACACTCAATGGTGCGCAGATGAACTACACGGTGACTGAGCAAGAACTTCTTGCCATTGTCTATGCCTTTGAGAAATTTCGGGCTTATTTGTTGGGATCCAAGGTGATAGTGTACACAGACCATGCTGCTCTTCGCTATCTCATGGCAAAGAAAGATGCAAAGCCTAGGTTGATTCGGTGGGTCCTGTTGTTGCAAGAATTTGACTTCGAAGTGAAAGATCGAAAATGGACGAAAAATCAAGTGGCGGATCATTTATCAAGGCTTGAAGAGGCAGGGAGACCAAAGGAAGATCTTGAAATCAACGATGCTTTCCCGGATGAACACATATTGGCATTTTCTAACACTTTTGCCCTTGGTACGCCGATATTGCTAACTACTTGGTTAACGACCTTATTCCGGATGGATTGGAAACTTATTAGAAGAAGAAGTTTTTGAGAGATTGTCGGCAATACTATTGGGAAGAACCATTCTTGTTCCGTGTTTGTGCTAATAACATCATCAGAATGTGTGTTCCAGAAGAGGAAATTATGCCAATTCTAAAGGCATGCCACGACTCACCGGTCGGGGGTCACCATGGGGGCAATCGAATGGCGGCAAAGGTGCTCTAATGTGGTTATTATTGGCCGTCGATTTATCATGATGCTAATCAAATGGTCAAGGCATGAGACCATTGTCAAAGGCAAGGGTCAATCTCCAAGAGGCATGAAATGCCAATGCACTTTGTGATGGAGATAGAGATCTTCGATGTGTGGGGAATTGATTTTATGGGCCCCTTTGTAAGCTCATGTGGTATGAAATACATCTTGGTAGCTGTGGACTATGTGTCTAAATGGGTTGAAGCAATTGCCTTACCAAACAATGAGGCAAATAGTGTGACTACGTTCTTAAAGAAAAACATATTCACGTGGTTTGGCACTCCTAGAGCCATTCTTAGTGATGGTGGGTCTCACTTCTGTAACAAGGCTTTCACAGGGCTACTAGAGAAATATGGCGTCAAGCATAAGGTGGCCACACCTTATCATCCCCAATCAAGTGGCCAAGTTGAAGTTTCCAATCGGGAGATCAAGAATATTCTAACAAAGACTGTTAATGCAAACAGGACCGACTGGTCAAGGAAGCTAGATGACGCATTGTGGGCATACCGCACGGCGTACAAAACACCTTCTGGCACTTCTCCTTATCGGTTAGTCTTCCGCAAGGCTTGTCATCTACCCGTAGAATTGGAGCACAAAGCCATGTGGGCTTTAAAAAGGTTGAACTTGGACTGGGATGAAGCTGCAAATTTGAGGTTAACACAACTCAATGAACTGGAGGAATTCCGTTTCCATGCATATTAAAGTGCTGCTATGTACAAAGAAAGGATGAAGTTCGTCCACGACAAAAAGATCTTGAAAAGGGAGTTCAAGTCGGGTGACTTGGTTTTGCTCTTTAACTCAAGGCTCAAATTGTTTCCGGCAAGCTCAAATCAAAATGGTCCGGTCCATTCAAGGTGGTAAATGTATCCCCTTTTGGAGCTGTGGAATTAGAATCGGAGGATGGGCTCCGAACCTTCAAAGTAAATGGCCAGTGAGTCAAGCACTACTTGGGCACAGATGGAGAAAAACATTTGGTGGAACAGTTGGCTCTCAAAGATGGTCCGTGCCCGACCAATGAGTGAACCCAAAGAAAGGTCAACTTCGTCGTGCCGCGACGTCAAATCAAGCGCTTCATGGGAGGCAACCCATGTGTGGTAACACCCCTTTTGTCCTTTAAGTTTTAACTTTTGTTAGATAGATTTAATCGAGCAATTTAAAGTGTGTGCTAGAGTGCAAGTGATTCAAAAGATCATAACACAGGGTAAAATTGCGTGTGAAAGGGAAGAGAAGTCACCATGGAAAGTCTGCTACACATATGCGGTCGCATTTCACTGTGCGGACCGCATTGTGGTCGTAGACCTGGACAATAGGTTCAGCTAATTTGGATGATAAAAATGCGGTGGAGATGTGCACTTTGCGGACTGTATTTCTGTTATGCGATCGCACAAGTGCATCGCAATGTGCCAATGAACAACTCCAGTTGAAACCACCGCATAACACTCATGCGATCTCATAAGGTGTTATGTGGTGACTTATCCACTGCATACTTCGCAGGTAGGTACCCCCTACCCCTTTGCACCTAAGCACACACCAGCACTCACATTTCCCTCTTAAACAAAAAAAACAAAACAAAACAAAACAAAACGAAAACGAAACAAAAAGAAAAGGAGAAAGCAAAACGGCTAGTGAACAGAGTACACATCGATCCAACTTTGTGCATTCATCTTCCAAGGGTTCTAAATTCTCCGTTCCTGGTATGTTCCTCTTTCCAGATTTCATCCATGTAAAGTTTAGTTTACATTTTGTTGTGTTTTTCATGTTTTTGTTTCCTTTAGTTTTGTTCCTTTTTCCTCTTGTATTTAGGTATCTGCTCGTAAGGGGAGGGGGGTTTGGATGATTGGTTAGGCTTAGGGTGTTGGGTAGTGAAATTGGATTAGCCATTGTAGAGGGTAGAGTTCGAATTGTTGAGGACGGAGACTTTTGCGGATCGCATAGTTGATTTGCGGTCCGCATTTCTGTCGCATAGAAACCCTAGGTCACTTGGGGAAGATGACAAAATGCGGAGGCTTTGCGATCGCATAAGTGATATGCGGACCGCAAAGCCACCGCATACTGAAACGGTTTTATGGCTTTTGTAACATGTTGTTTGCGGCTGATCTACGATCGCAAATCCATCTTTGCGGTGGATTTTGCGATCGCATAGTGTGATGTACTTTCTAAGCCTCTAGTTTTGCGATGGTTATGCGAACCGCGTAATGGATATGCGATCGCATAACCCATCGCATAACTGGCTCCTTTCAGCAGATAAAAGTTTTGCGACAGGTTTGTGGTTCGCATAGTGGTTATGCGATCGCATAACCTGTCGCATACTTGAATTTCTTTGTATTTTATCTCCTGATATCTGCTATGTTGCTCACATTTCATTCCTCTGCAGATATGGCTCCCAAGAAACATCTATCTTCCAAGAAAAGGGCTTCCACCAGTGGTCAAGCAGAACAAGCCAAGCGTGCACGACCTGAAACATCTCGACCTATTTTTGTGCATCCCTCCCAGTCTAATGAGAAGGAGACCTTGCCATCAGTTGACCTACAAGCTGAGGCAAGAAGAAAAAGAGGAGATGATTTCCAACTAAGATTTGGGGTTGAAGGC